ATAGTCAGGGCTACATACAGAGAACCTATCTCAAAAACAAACAAACAAACAAAAACAAAAAAAAAATCATTGATTTTATAATACAGCAAGATTCGGAGAATTATAGTGTTCTCTCGTCCCTTGGTTCCACTCACTTTACTTAGTCTCTTGGCATCTCAATCAAATCCGGATGGTTCAATGTGGCTTAACTCGTATAAGTCAAGTCATGTCAGTAAACCTGTGATGACACCAGAATTAGTGAAGGAAAAAGTTCAGAGTGTCAGGTGAGGATGGAAGCTGAGTTTTCAGCCATTTTATTTTAACTAGCTTAGCTAAAAAATAAGGAGATGAAGCTATGCTAATAAATTTGGACTTATCTTTTCAACAAAGCATTACATGTTTAAAGCAAATACAATGTAGCATGGAATTAGTCTCCTTATATTTAGTGACTGTGAGACAGAATGCCTTAAAGCCAATGCTACGGGAGAGGCAGTAGAGTTCCTGTGTACATAGGCAGTGCAGAAAGGTACAAGTTGCCTTAAAAATTAGGAAGGCTGCAATTCAGAACTCCAGGTAGTTCAGGAAGGAGGGCTTCATGAATGGTTAGAACTGTGCAGTTCTTTGTGATCTAACTCTGAACTTCGTTGCTTCAAGAAAATAACCTATTTGTGCCTATTGAAGTTTGGGGTTGTTTTGTGAATTAATATAGAAGAAATGACACCGGGCTCTGACGTTAGGTCTTACAGTAACATCTGTCGGTTTTTGGAGATCAAAGGCAGTTATGCTGTGAAGAAGCCCATTCTGCCCAAATGAAGACAAAAAGCCATATGCCGGCTCATAGCTTCCATTTTCTCCTTTCACTCTGGGCATTTTCTCTTCTCTGACATCTGTGACATTCTTGATTCTGCATTCTATCTATCTATATCTCTGGTTACTCTTACTAATTTTCTTCTTTTACGTATATGCCAGGTTTCAGGCTTTCTTACTCTATATTCTTTCAAAGAGGCAATATACCCATAAGATGCAGCCTGGCTCAAAATATGCTTATATATGTTTCATGAGGTTCCTAAGACATTCTCCAGCAGGACTGATCACAGCTGCCTATGGAGGTAACCCAGTACTTATTTCTTGAGCACGTGATAAGTAAAAAGAAAAACGAATCTCTCTGAACCATTTATTTTTGTCTTAACTCTCCTTTGGGAAGAACCTAGACAACACAGCTTATAGCCTAAATATTTATTTATAGGATTGGTTCTTCTTTCCTCTCTACTTCCTTAATTCAGATCTCATCTGACCTTTTGCCTTATTTTCCTAACTTTGCTTCCCTTCAATTTATTCATAACAATGTAGGCAAATTATTTCACATGACTCTCATCTGTAAATGGAAGTAGTGTGGTGACACACACCAATAGGCCAGGAGTTAGGAAGTAGACGCAAAATGACCACACATTTGAGGCCAGCCTGGGCTACCTGGTAAGATTCTGCCTTAAAAATGAATGAATGTATGAATACATACATACATACATACATACATACATACATACATACATACATACACACACACACACATAATAGCAAGTGCTCTTAAACAATGAGGTATCTCTGCATCCTCATTTTAAATAGCATTAACTCATGTAGCCTCATGCTAAACAGTTTCAGTAAGAGTACACTAATTTCTCTAAACTGTTTTTAAGCATGAAATAAACTTATTAGCCACATTGCATAAAACAAGATACTATCAAAGAAACCAATCTTCATTTCCCTAATATACTGTATTGTGCTTTAAATCAGTGTGTTTATTATTCTGAAATAAAGATACATCGATAAAAACAACTGACATTTAGGTAGCCCATAACAGGAGCTCAATGCTTTCCTAGACCTTTTGCGCATGTTAACTGTGTTAGATTTTGTGATGAGCACGGGAGACACTGATCTGCCTTCATTTTATCCAGTAAAACAATTAAGATGCAAACATGTTAGCAGACTTATCTTAAACACTGAAGCGACAGCTCAAAGCTTAGCAGTGCAGCTCATGCTATCTCTTATAGAGAGAATTTAATTATTTAATATACAGAAGGCACTTAGGACAGTGTCTGGTGGACGGCATAAAGTCAATAAACACTGGACACCAGTATTACTATAATGAGTTTATTAATTTGGTTTCATCTTCTTTAAATTAGACCAGTTTTTTTTTTTAACTTAAATTAGCCATGGTTTCTCTTTGAATTAGGTCACAGAAGAAAATTTCATCCTGGAATTTATACTCACTAACTTCTGGTTTGTATGCACCACGAGGTTTTACAGCATGTCCCTCCAATAATCAATTACTCTTGTTGTCATTCTTATTTCTTAATTTCCCATTAGCATTTCCTTGTGTATCAATCCTTTTTCTTTACTTTAGGACAATTTTGATGATGGCTTCCTAGAATTATACCCTAAAAGACTGAAATATTTTTACGGTTCTTTGTGTTCATCAGAAATTTTTCATCCAATGCATCATGCCATATGTTTAAGAAATTCTGTTTAATACCTTAGTATTCGTAATTTTATAAGTTCATTTATATTTCATAAAATCTCTTACAAGGAATTTATAGAAAATAAATCTTGTCAGTTGTCCAAATGACAAGCTTTCAAATATTTAAAATTGTTTAAGTGTTTACTTGTGCCATTTGTACCCCTATATGACCTCTCAGTCCTGCTTTGGGAATTTTCCTTCTTGCTAAACATCCCAATTTTTTTTTCCTTAGCATCTCTTCCTTGACAAAGTAGCCTGGCTCTTGGCTGTCCGAGTCACAGTTTCCTAAATGCATCCCATTGTGCCTATGTCCCACTTAATGTGATGATTCCAGACATGACCAGGGCAGAGCACAGAGGGACTATCACTTTCTTTGACCAGAGCATCTATTTCTAGCCATCCAGCCTAAGGTCACATTAACATTTTTGGCACCAAAATACGCCTTTGGCTCATGCTTTTGTGCTGTCAACCAGATCCTTCATGACTTTTTCACATGAACTCCTATTAAACAAGGCTGCCCACATCCTGTACTAATATAGACAGTAATGTGCAGTTCATAAAGTTATTTACATAAGTTCCTGTTAAACTTTACTTAATCTATATTTGTTATTCTAGGATATTGAGATGCATTTCTCTTCCCAACTATACACAGATATGGCTTAAAAATACTTTGATGTCTTTTGTGTCTTCTCTGAACTCACAAGAACATAGTACCAGGCAATCTTGAATGTCTGAGTTTTACAGTATGCAGTAGAGTCCTAGAGGCTGAATACGGTTGTTTAGTCATGAACACATCATCAGTTAGGTACCAACAGCCTTACAAATCATACCTACTGAAATGTCCTTTCCAGATATCCTGGGAGACTGGTAAGTGAACGGCACGGATCATCTGAATGCTGCCTGTGGCAGAAGAGGTGAAACATAGCTATTTTCTTCATCAGTGAGGGAATATTTCACCATGCTGTCTAAAAAGACACATGATTTTTATCCTGGGTCTTGTAACTGTCTTGGTTTTCCAAGTGCTTATCAGCTAAGACCTTCTCATATTAAACCCCAGGATGATCTCATGTTCATGTTTCCTGCTATCTCTGAAAACTGGCAGTTTCTTATGGGAAAAAATTCATTTATACTTCTGTGTGTTACAAAGCAACACAGTAGCAGGCTTAGGTGGGATAAATAGAGTAGTGATAGATAAAGACAATAAATCAAAATTCATGACATTTCTTATGCATCTTTTTAATTCTCTAAATTATTTTTGTTAGTATAGAAAATAGTGATCTTTTCTATTCTGTTTATACATGTTTATCATTTAGCAGTCCTCAGACGGCTTCACTTTTTTCCTTTTCTCCTCTCCCTTCCTGCTGAGTCCATGTCTCCAAAACAAGCCCCTGCAGCTTTCAAGTCACGTGAGCATCTTTTAACTCTAAGTTCTGCAGATTAGACAAAGAATGACATTTGTCTTCCTCCCCACTTTGTTTTAACTCTCCTCCACCCCTACATGGTTTCCTCTCCACTTTCATGTCATATAGCTATGCATAAACATAGAGATAATTTAATTTAGCTTTACGTGCAAGAGAAAACCTAAAATGCTTATCTTTCCAAATCTGGCTTATTTTGGTTCACAATATGAATTTTTGATCCATTTTCCAGCAAATGGCACAATTTATTCTTTTCAGTTGAAGAAAACTTCATCATGTGTGTGTGTGTGTGTGTGTGTGTACGTGTGTATGTGTTCACTGTATATCTTTACTCCGTTTATCTGCTGATGAACATCAGAGCCATTACCATAGCTTGAAAATTGCAAATAGTGCAGCCATAAACAGGAAAGTGTAAGCATCTCCATCCCATGCTGGCTTAAAATCCTTCAAGTACATATCCCAGTGTGGTATAGCTGGATAAGATACTAACACACTTTTTATTTACTTTTTCATGTGTACTTTTTAATGTTTAAAATACGTATTTATAAAAATTTTATGTGTATGGGTGTTTTATTTGTGCGTTTGTCTGTATAGCATGTGTAAGTACTGGCCTTGAGGCCAGAAGAGGGCATCAGATACCCTGGAACTGGAGTTTTAGATGTTTGTGAGCCAATGTGTGGGTGCTGAAAATGAAGCCCAGGTCTTCTGCAAGAGCAGCAAGTTCTCTTAACCACTGAGCTATCTCTCCAGTCTCACCGTTTAGCTTTATGAGGGACCTTTACTGATGTGTAGTAGCTACAGTCAATGCAGTCTATGCAGATTTCATTTTCGCTCCACCCTTTCTAGCAGTTCTTGTTTGTTTACTTAATTATAGCCATCCTGACTGCTGAGATACAGCAACACTGACAATCTGGAACCTGAGGGCGATACTCTGTTTACTTTAGATGACATTAAATTACCGATGGAGTCAAGATCTAGTGAGGTCTATGGGAACAACTTTCTGCTGTCTTAGAATGCATCTTAAAAATAATTAAAACAAATGCCTTCTGATGTTTAAGATTGGTAATTGCTTTGTTTTCAATCTCCAGGGTGCTTATTGGCTCTCCTTTAGTTGGCCAACCCAAAGCAAGAACTGGCGATGTCTATAAGTGTCCCGTTGGGAGAGAGAGATCAATGCCTTGTGTGAAGCTGGATTTGCCAGGTGTGTAAAATCAAATTGTCCATCCTCACTCACGCCCATATTCTCACTGCAAACAACCTTCAACTGACCCGAGAAAATACTGAAAGTAATAAATGATCATTCTAAAGTTGATATCTGGAATTCACATAGAATGACATTGTGGCTTCCTTGGCCCTGAATTTATTTCAGTAACTCGTTGAGATATAGCCATAGACTTTGAATAGCTTATTCTATTTGTAACTTTGCCTTTCTGTTAGTCAGGATGCTGTGAAAACAAATGGCTTGCCAAACAGTCATATCTATCACATTTCTCACACAAATACAACTTAGTACCAAAGTCTATAAAGGAAACTGAGTGGGAGAAATTGCAGTAATCAAATTTATTAATAGTTTTTAAAATATGAGACACAGTTATATCAAAATAGATATGTTTTGATAGAAATATCACTTGGTAGTATGACTAGAAAATTGCTTCTAAAGTTAGGATTTAGAATTCTTTCAGTATTTGTACAATGTTAAAAATGATTAAATGATCTATATCCCTACAAGTTCACTGCAGATACTGCATTTTTCAACTCTCCTGTTTTCAATTTCTAATTTCTTTGTTCGTTATGACTATTTTCCCTTATATTCATGAACACAGCTATCATAGGGGTTTGAATACCCTTGCTTGATAATCACGGCCCCAAGGAGGTTTCAATATCTCTTTCTGTTTGGTACTTTTCCCTGACATTGGGGGATATATAGCTTCTTAGTTATTCATATTTTTGGAACACAACTGGATTTTTGATTATAAGCATAGACATTCTATTCTGTTTTGTTCCTTCAAATGTCTTCATTTCTTTAAATGTATATTAGCAGGCAATATGTTTGGCAGAGCACAATTTCCAGATTCTGATTTCTTTTTTCAGTTAGAAGTTGTTACAGTTCTACTTGGCTTTTTTTTTTTTAATTTCTACTAGGCTGTGTAGACTCTTCTGTTCACATTGCCTATTCAGGCTATCCAGAAACATAGACCGAATACATACACATGTAATTGTCCTTTCATGGCTCCTCTTCCAAAAACACTCCTCACTCCCTTTTGTAGATGCTGTCATCAACTCTACATTTCCATCCTCCTTTGCTTCAAGACAGTAAACCTAGAACATCTGTTTGAGTTTTATTACCTAATATGGTCTTTCTTTAAGGAGAAAAGAAAAATAAAACCAGAATAAAACACAAAACCAAGGCACCAAGTGCCAGACTCTTCTTACATATGGAGTCTCTGTAGCATCAGCCTGTTTGAGGCCACTTTCCAATGCTTTCATATGGTTGTTTTATTAGTCTTCCCCCTTCTTTTAAAGATTTATAGATGTTATTTACAAAATAATTCATTCGATAGGAACTAGCCCTCCACTTCTGAAAAATAGATTAGCTTTCAAACTAGCCCAGAGATTTAAACTACATCAAGAGCAGTAGGAAACATTTTCAATAGCTTCTAATTATTCAAGCAGTGCTGATCCTGGGCAAAGCTCATTTAAAGTTTCCAATCTAGGTCATTCAATACCAAGGTACATGGTAGCCCAGTGCAAGATGCTGTCATTTTTGGAGGTCCTTGGATTCATAATGCTTTCTCAGGGCTTTTTATTTATTTTTTGAATAGGTACTTTGTATATATGTTATGTTTTTCTAATTTTGTGTTTTTATGGATTTCTCTGTGTGTGATTATATGTGTCTCTGTGCCTACTTGTGTTTCTTGTGCTTTTTCTTGGGCTCTTCTTCCTCTGTTTGTTTTGTCCTATTTTGACTTATTTGGTTTTGTTTTATCTTATCTTACTTTATTTTATTATAATTCTTTAGATGCCTGTTTATTTTCTAATGAGAGAAAGAAGAGGTGTTGGTTTTCGATGAGAGGAGAGGCAGGGAGGATCTTGGCAAGGTGAATCCCCAAATCAGAATATATTGTATGAAAAAAAATTAATTTTTAATATAAAACATAGAAAGAAAGAGAGAGAGAGAGAAAGAGAGAAAGAAAGAAAAGAAAAAAGGAAGGAAGAAAAAATACTTTCAAAACAAGACAGACAAAATTCTTGAACAAAACCCAGTTCTCGCTCAGATCAGGAAGTAAGATGGGCCATCCAGGAACCTATTTCTGTGTTGGCTGTTCAGTCTGTAGGTGAGGATATGCACAGACATGAACAGGGCTAAGAGTTTTTCCTGAGCTTGAATTGCCACTTTAAAGTGCATTCCATTCTTAGCAGAATTTAAAAGTCTTCACTTTTCTTGACAAGTATTTTTTCTTCCTCCTAGCCACTTTTGTCAGGTTGGAATGCTGTGGGACCCAACATTCCTATTTGGAACATCTAATGGATGTCCCTTCACCATCTTCTCTTTACCCAAGCTTCCTAGACCCTTCTCTTATCTTGATCCAGCTCTCTTTTGCAGCTCTCACGATGTCCCTGTGATTTTTGAAAGTCAGTATAAAAAGATTTTTGTTTGGCTTTTTAGCTCTATAGGTATTCAGTTTTTCTTCCAGAAGTTAAATTTTGTCGTTGGTTTGTTTACAACAGTGAGCATAAATTATCTCCATACTGAACGCCGCATTTGTTTTAATTAGCAAAAAGCGTGTGAAAACCAGTCCCACATTCTCATTGCCCTGCTAGTTCTGCATTCTTTCAAATCCAGCCAAACTATTTGAAACAGTGATACAGACGAAGTCTCTGGGAAGTCAGCCAGCCCTTCAGCCTTAACTTGTTCATTATATTTCCCAGTACTGGGAAGTCTGTTTAGTTGACCCAGAACAAGAATGTGCTATGAGATGAGCAAAGCACATAGAATGCTTTAATGATAAGACACTTAATTTTACATTATGAAACATATTTTCACACTAATGAATTTTTTTCTATTTTGTAGTTAACACATCAATTCCCAATGTCACAGAAATAAAAGAAAATATGACATTTGGATCAACTTTAGTCACCAACCCAAATGGAGGATTTCTGGTGAGAAAGAAGAGAGTAATGTATTTCATAAAATTGGAATGTAGTCATTTATGTCTTTGAAACCTGTTATATAATGTCCTGTCTTCATTTGTTTTTATTTTTTAAAGGCATGTGGGCCCTTGTATGCCTATAGATGTGGGCATTTGCATTATACAACAGGAATATGTTCCAATGTCAGCCCTACATTTCAAGTTGTGAACTCCTTTGCTCCTGTGCAAGGTACACACTTTATGCAATATTTGTGCATGTTTGAAAGCATAAGCAATAAGAGAGATACATGTATACACAACAGCATACCAAAAAAGGCTTCTCTAATTTGTCATCTGCCAGCATTACCAACTTAGGCAAACGTTTGCTTTGCCAGTATATAACCAAACTTTGCTCCTATTTTTGGAACTGATATTAGTGTAAATAACCTTGAGAATTATGTTTAAATTTCATATCTAATGCTATCATGCTGGTTGTATTTAAAGAGTCAGTCTCTTTGTGGAGAACTTCATTTGAGACATACAGAATGAAAACCCCATCAAACCCACGATGAGAAAATAACATATATATCATTAATAAAAATAAAGTTGGTGGCAAACCCCTTTAAACCCAGCACTTGGGAGACAGAGGCAGGTAGATCTCTGAGTTCAAGGCCAGCCTGATCAACAGAGTGAGATCCAGGACAGCTAGGACTGCACAGCAAGGGAGAGAGGGAGAGAGGAGAGAGGGAAAGAGGGAAGAAAAGAGGAAGGGAAGGACAGAGGAAAGAAAGGAGGGAGAGAGAAAGAGGAGAGAGAGATGGGTTTTTGTGGCACAAATTCCAAACTGATTATAACCAAATACAGTATTTCTTACTTAAGGTTAATTTTTTCTAAAATACTATAAAAACAATGGACGCACTCAGTAGGGCCATCAGTGTAGCTTTGAAGATGGGTTTGTTTAGGGAAAGTGCATCACCAACCCCTCAGAAGGTAGATTTCAGTTCACACACTGTGTCCATGCGTTGCAGAATGCAGCACTCAGCTGGACATTGTCATCGTCCTGGATGGCTCCAACAGCATCTACCCCTGGGAAAGTGTCACCGCTTTTCTAAATGATCTTCTTAAGAGGATGGATATTGGCCCTAAGCAGACACAGGTACGTGATTCTGCATTTCTCATGACTGTTTTCTAAAGCCTAAAATCCACAGTTGTGTACCGGGGCAAGTGTTTGAGTAGCTCGCTTAAACTAGATGTGTGCTGCTTTTATTTATTTATGAGTTAACCAGAAAACAGTGATCTTGGCTGGGTGTGCTGGCATATGCTTTTATTTAATCATAGCACTTGGGAGGTAGAGGCTGGTTTATCTCTGTGAGTTCAAGATCATCGTGGTCCTCATTGCCAGTTCCAGGACAGCCAGAGCTACACAGTAGACACAGTTTTGTTTTGTTTTTTAAGTGATCTTATTTTTTTAAAAAAGACAAAAATGTTCAGGTTTTTAACAAAACAAGATATTCTGAAAATAAACTAAGAAAAACAAAATTAAAGAAGAACGAAATTTATCCCCATTTTTACTTATGATGAAAGATCATATTTTAGACCTGAAAAACGTGAAAGCTCTACTTAACGTGCAGCTGATTTCCTGTGGATCTCTGTAAACTGACAGTTTGGTCCTCAGCTATGAAATAGTCACCTTTGGTGAGATCACAGCAGCATTTCAGAGTTTGAAGAAATAAAATGAAATCTCAGAGGATTACCACATTCTCACGAAGTGCCCGCCGGATCTTGCTTCTATAGACTAGTCACGTTCTCCCTCTAAATACGAGGAAATATGCCTGGTTCTAGCCACAGGAAGCTAAACAATTGCTGTTTTCTGGGGTATGGTTACTAAACTCAATGCCTTTATTACCCATAAAGGGAGCAAACTGTTCACACAACTTTTCCACTTCAGATACTGAGTTTGTAATAAATTAACTTAGTGTTTATTAACTATATCCATTCAGATATCTTAAAATACATAGCAGGTGTGATAGATAACAGGCAAATGGTCAGGGTAAGCTCAGGGCTTAGAAGCCTGAACTCAGTGCCAGGTTCAGAGTATAAATGTTGTGACACAGGTGGGTAGTTCTAGGAGAGCAGAGGACACCTCAAGACTTGGTTCTTATGCTGTTACTATTTTTCCCTTACTTTCCTGAGATAGCTTTGGGAGAAATTTCAGAGGCACCGAAAAAAGCTCTTATGACTCTAAAGTTTGTCACATCTATGTTAAAATTAGGCCATAGTTTACACATGAGTACAAACAAAAACATCTCTGAGGCTTAATCTCATTTATGTTTCTAACATATATTATATGGTATACATATAATTAACCAAAGAGATTGTAGTAGAGTATTTCAAATCACAAGCTAAACTTTATAAGTGAACTATTATTTTGTCATGTTCCAAGGTTGAAAATTTTTTATAGCGACCTGCCAGAGAGATAAGATGATAAATATCCCACTGGAACATCTTGAAATCAGTTAAAGAAAATGGACCGTTATCTACCACAAAATGTACATTTTCATAAATGCAGCTTTTAGCATGTAAGTGATCTCAACTCTGTGACTAGGAGAGGATATTGTACCTGCTCAAGGAACACTCAAGAATTTTGACTTCTTCTTTCTTTTAATATATATATATTAAATATATATATTTATATAAATTATATTATGAATATATATACTAGTATATATCTGTTTTTTCCATATGAACCCTGCCTTGTTTTCCTTTCTAGAGAACCCCATCTTTTCTTTTCTTTCCTCATTCCCTCCCACCTGTTCTTTCTCACCTTAGTCGATGAAATTTCATACAGTGGAAAAAAAATAAAAGAAACTTGTCAGACTCTTGAAAGTGACTGAGCCTCATCGTCAATGTATGAGAGGCTTAGTGATTGTTTGAAGTCACTGGGCAAATTATCACAGATCAAAATAGGCAGCTGTCAAAATGCAATTCGAAGATTTTGTTCTCTGTGATCTTCAGTTCTAGGAATGTTTCTGAGCAGGTCCCATGTAGAGTCTATGTACTTTCTCGCTGACTCTTCTTTCCTTTCTATGCCCCTTGGGCCAGGGTCACTCTGGGCTTCATGGTGTCCTATTCCCTCTACCATCACAGCTGATGGAAAAGTGTTTGCTCACAGTTTCTCCCTCGCTCTCCACTTGCACTGTGATGTGCTTTCTCTCTCCCTTCTATTTTGTCCATCCGCTTTTCTTTCCAAGTCTCATAACCTTTTCAGAGATTATAATTTTTTCTAACATTGCATAGGCATCTGAGTATTTCATTTTATCTTTAAATCCAATGGTCTGTTTTGCTATAAAAATGTTTGTTGGTGTTTGGGAAAGCCAGTGGATCTGTCTTAGAACAGTCATTACTGCCTCCATGAAAAGTGGTGCCAACAATTTGGGTTTGGAGAAAGATGGCACATTCAATAAAATCCATCATAATTCTTAAGGTTTTCACTGTTAGAACTGCAATCAGTTTGTCTTAGCATTCCCAGAGGAAATATTCTGCTTGTACATCAGAGGAAACCCAGCTTGCCAGGGTGGGCTTCATGGAGTTCTGAGTCTTTCTTAGAGGAACAATGCCGCTATTTAGAGACATGGAGGGCAACTCTGGAGGGCCAGATGCTACAAGTTAACAGAGCAAAGGAACTCACTGTGAAGTCAAACTCAGTTTCATTCCACAGATGTTTCTACAGCATTATACCCAGGGTCCTTTGTAGTGTCCTCTCGCTATGTTTCCTAAAGAGAGAAGCTGAGCAGGGTATGGTAGTGTGTGCCTGTAAGCCCAATACACAGGAGGCGGAGAGAAAAGACTCACAGAGGCCAACCCGGGATACAAAGCAAGTTCCTGGGTAACCTGGACTACACACTGAGAATCTGTCTCAAAGAAGTAATTTCATTTACCAGAATAAAATGGAGACACTGGCTATAGTTCTGAATTTTCCCATCACATGTTGCTGGCGCCAGGCATGGTGAAGCTTAGTCACCATCACTCCTTTCTTTATTCAGGATCATTGCTGAATACCAGCTGTGTGGCAGCTCAGTGCGAGGACCTGGGTCATGGTGGGAACTAAGAGGTGTGACTGCTGCTTCGGTGGGACTTCTCTCTGATGCGCTTTCCCCTCGTGTTCCTTCAGTTCCACCTTGTGGAACCCCTGCCTCAGTATGCCTGAGATGCTTGGACTCTATCTAGGACTTTCAGGATCAGAATCTCTGAAAGTGTTGTGGGAACACTGAACCTGAACCTTATATGATTCTTAAATATATTAAAGTTAGAAATCCTGGTTTAATGTTCTATGGTTATACTGCTATCATGTGTAAATATTTGCCACTTACTCTGGATTATGGTTAAGAACAAAGGCCAGTTTGTCTTACCCTCATCAGTTCACAATTCGGTGAAATAATGAACTTTAGTGAACATTTGATGGATGAATGTATATATGCTAGTTTTTTTTTTTATCTTCTGATGGTGGTTATCATATGAGATTTTTTACAGGCAGCTTTTTTAATGTTCTCCTAAGCATATTAATTTCATCTCAGTTGTTTATCCTGATTTAAGACTTATCAATGACCAGCTTCATAAATACTTTTCTAAAGTAAAGGGTTTTTGAAAGGCACATTAAGCCATTAAGCATGGCATGTTAAACTCTTAAAAGTTTGACTTCCCTTCAATGGATTCAGAAAATAGTTCATTCATATAAACCTTGGAAAACATTTCCTCTTCAAAGATAGGAACCGAAAGCATGCTAATATTTCATGAGATCTCAAGCAAATCTTTTCAAACACAGAAAATCTGTCTTGACAAGCATTTATTTTCTGACTCATTATGAATGTAATTTAAAGAGATTTGATTTTGAAGTTGCTTTGCTTTTGTTGTGATTAAAGCATTCGATTTTGCCTGACTTACAGAATTAACTTCTGAATTTTCCTGCTGTTTTCTTATCCTTTATACCTCCATTCATGGGAGGAACAAAAATAAAATAGATTGTATGAGAGATTTTACAGAAGTTGGAAATCTATGCAGCTAAGAGCAAGCAACTAAGAATTCTTGGACATCTTATATTTATCAAATGTTAAGAATGCATTAAGAATGGGATTAAGGGGTTGTGATTGTGGCCTAGAGAGTGAAGTACTTGCTGCTCAGGAGTGATGCTCAACTTCAGATCCACACCACCTGTGCAAAAACTGGAGACATCAGTACATCCCCTAGTACTGACTAGTCAATTCACCAGCCATCCTAGTCAATTTGATGTGCTCCCATGTTGAAATAGAAATCCTGTCTTAAAAGATGAGACAGAGAGCAATCTAGGAATATACTTGATGTCACCTTCTGCCCTTCATATGTGCGTGCACATGCATGACCACCCTCCATCTCATGTGCACACAACTGCATAAGTTTATACAGACTCTGCATGTACACACCTTAAATTAAATAAACTGATATGAGAGGAATGGAGTTTATGGAATCTGAAGATTTCTCTGTACAGATTCACCTGAGCCTTGCAGTGACCTTGACATGTGACATCTTGACATCCCACTAAGTCCTACAGTGATTATGGTGTGTTTATAGAATTGGAACCAATCCCTGATGTATCTGTAGAGTCAGGAATCATATTTAGTGACTGCCAGTCAAGTCACAGCAGAGGTGGCTATACTGGGATCTGCCTTTCTTCAATGACTTATTAGAGTGAAGAATGTGTGTGTTTCCCATGGCTCAATGTTGGTCACTCGTCAAGATCCAGCACGAGGTCACCTTAGGTACTCTCTAAGAAGCTTCTGGAAGTGCACAAATGCATCTACTGAGAAAAGCCTGAAGTATCTGCAATCACTAGGAATGAAGGTCATGAAATGCAGTCAGCTCAGTGGGAAGACATAGTGAGACATAAAGGGAATTCTCCAAGGGACTCACAAAAATGCAGTAGGCAGTTCTGAGAACCCAGCTCACTCGGGGATAACAGCAATAGAGTAGGAATTTGTGTCTGGAAGGGTCAGAAATTGTGGTTAACAACCTAAGTGAAAGAAGTGGAAAGACATGGTAAAGGAAGAGCATACCACATTCCTTTCTCAACCTAGGCTTCTTACCTGCTCTAGTACAGGCAAGAGAAAAGGTGAACTATGAGTT